ACCCCTGCCTTCTCAGCGCTCTACCGTGAGTACCGCAACCTAAAGCATGCAGTGCTCCAGGCCGGCGACGGACACCGCATCCTAGAGCAGTCTCTCCCCGAGACAGCTGAGGAGGTATACTGACCCTTGATCCCAGTCAGCGTTCTGTATGGCCAGATGGCAGGAGCCAGAGGCGTGTTGCAGCCATGCCTCCATGGAGCACAGAATTGGGTGGCCAGGTCCTCCCGTGGGGGTTAAGGAGAAGCTTTGGAGCACTTCTATGCCCGTGCCGTCTTTTAACCTGATCTAGGCCGCTACTGTCTACTGCAGGCACAGGAGCCAAGCTGCTGGGGTCCCCACCTGAATCGAGCTGCCACCCAGAATACACAGCCTATACCCAGGCAGGGCCCATCGAGTTCAGTACAAGACTATGGAAAGAGGCTCAAAGCCAATCTGGAAAACAACCCGAAAACAGCAAAGCTACAGGTAAGAAGTGATGGTGACCCCAGAGCTGCCTTTGGCTCCCGGTAGTTTGCCAGGGCCCTTGTATGCCCACCCTTCCTTACAGCTTGCACACACAGGCACAGGTTCCTGTGGTAGGTGAGGCTAGGCTGCTAAGCTGCTCATGGGCACCTCACTCTCAGCTTCTTGTATATTCCAAACTCAGCAGTAGCCCAGGGTCCTGAGTCCCTATCTGCTGTTCTGTCTTCCCCGACCTAGACTAGGCCAAACTTGAGCCGAAAACGCCAGCCTCAGAAGAGAACCTCGCCCACGGTGCCCACCCCAAGGCCACCAGGCCCAAGGACCTGTCCAGATGAAACTAATGATGTACTTCCCAGGCTTCCTGAGCCCCAGCCAAGACTAGGCCAACTCCAACAGCTTCAGGCATCCCTGAGTCTGAGGCTGAGTTCCCTAGATCCTGGCTGGTTAGAGCGGTGTCACAACAGAGTTTCAGACCTTCTAGAGGTCCCCAGTGCCTGTAGGCTTGACCTGGATGGAAAGGGGTTACAGCCTCAAATGTCAGGCGAGGTGAATGTCCTTGACCCTGGTACCCATTCAGAAGGGTCTTCACAGAGCCCAGGGGCCCTAGCCATACAGCCACAGAGCCCCAAATCCAGCAACAAGAAAGACAGGAAACAGAACTGGAGTGAGAGTTCTGAGGACTTTGCACAAGCTCAGGACAGCAGCCAAGAAGGACTACTATGTAAGGGAGCCGGGGCTACAGCACATGAGAAAGACCATCCAGGAGAACCAGCACTTGTGAGTGCATCTCGGCCCCACAACTCCTCCAAGAAGGCCAGGACAGAGAAGGCTGAGGGCAAAGCCCACGCTCACACCACCACTAGACCAGCTTTCCTGGACAGAGGGAACTATATTCGACTCAACATGAAACAGAAGTGCTACGTACGAGTTGGGGCCAATCGAGGCAGGCTTCTCCGAAAGCAGGTGAGATATGTTAAATGGAATAGGCCAGCCTTTCCTCTCTTCCCATCTCCATCTTGAATAGTCTGTGGACCTTCCCCAGGTGTGGAAGCAGAAGTGGAAGAAGAAAGGAGAACAGTTTGGGGGGAGTAGACCCAGAGCCACAGTCCAGGACACTTGTTTCCAGTGTGGGCAGTTTGGTCACTGGGCATCCCAGTGCTCCCAGCCAGGTAAGCCTCTGCCGTGAGTATTGGATCATTTAGCCATGGGGGTTGGAAGCGGAGCTAGAGAACTACTTATGCAAACAAAGGATCCACCAGCTCTTAACCCTGGTCCAGGCTCCACCATGACCTTCCAGGAGGAAGGTGGCGGGGATGACAAACAGCCCATTTCCACTTTGGAAGAAGACACACAGATGGCAAGCACTCCTTCCTGTCACCTGTCTAGTGAGTAAGGGGAATGGGTGGGTGTAACCAGTGGCCATTGTGCCAGGACCATCTCTGTCTACCCTGACGCTCCCACGTCACCAGCTCTTGCTTGTCTAAGCAGGTGAGGACACAGACCCTGATGGACCAAAGCTGCAAGTACCCTGTCCTCCCCGCCCAGTGCTGCCCTTCTACCCACCAGGGCCCTCGGGGCATATAGCAGGTGAGTGGAACTTAATCTTTGCTAACACATGTCTTAGTCACTGTTCTATTGCTGTGAAGAGACACTCTGACCACAGCACCTCTTATAAAAGAAAGCATCTAATTAGGGCTTGTAGACTGTTTTAGAAGCTTAGTTCATTATTATCATGGTGGGAAGCAGAAAGGCAGGCATGGTGCTGGAGAAGTAGCTGAGAGCTTTACATCCTAACCAACAGACAGAGAAAGACACTGAACCTGGCCTGGACTTTTGAAACCCTCAAAAGCCACCCCCAGTGACACACTTCTTCCCAAACAGTTCTCCAAATGAGGACTCAGCATGCAAATATATGAGCTGATAGGCTGTTCTCATTTAAACCCCAACTTGTGCCCACAGAAACCCCTGCTGAGGTATTTCAGGCCCTACAGCAGCTAGGGCACCAAGCTTTCCGCCCTGGGCAAGAACATGCAGTCATGCGGATTCTTTCTGGTAGGTGTGGCTGCCTAGCAACTGTACCAGGCTGTGTCTGGCTAATTGAGCCTTATAGATACCTCTTGTCCTGTCCAGGCATCTCGACTCTGTTAGTGCTGCCCACAGGTGCTGGCAAGTCTCTTTGCTACCAGCTGCCGGCACTGCTGTATGCGCAGCGAAGCCCCTGCCTCACACTGGTGGTCTCTCCTCTCCTGTCACTCATGGATGACCAGGTATATGGACAGGCTCTTGGTACCTGGGAAGTCTAAAAACTGACACCTCTGATACCCTTAGGTGCTTCTTGTTTCTTGAACACACCAGTGGCCAACTGACCTTCCTAAGGGAGGCACAGCCTAATGCCCAGTGTCAAGTTCCTTATCTCCAGGGTACCCAGGCCCATAGCTGGCTGGCTCTGAACTTTTCCTCCCAGGACCCAGCAACTGATGCTTTTCCTTTCAGAGGATATAGTAGCTCTGAGAGAATGTAGCGGGTATTGAGCTGTGCTGTGCTGTGACAGCATTGCATTTACAGGTGTCTGACCTGCCTGCATGTCTGAAGGCAGCCCGCCTCCACTCGGGTATGACCAAAAAACAACGAGAAGCTGTCTTGAAAAAGGTCAGGAGGGCCCCTGCGGATGGGTGGTAGGGGGCATCCATCTGGACGGTGTCCATAACCCTGTTCCCTTCAGGTAAAGGCAGCCCAGGTGCATGTGCTGCTTGTGTCCCCTGAGGCCTTGGTCGGGTGTTGGGCGAAGGGCCCTGCCAGTCTCCCCCAGGCCACTCAATTGCCTCCAATTGCCTTCGCCTGCATTGACGAGGTCCACTGCCTGTCTCAGTGGTCACACAACTTCCGGCCCTGCTACCTGCGTGTTTGCAAAGTAAGCTTTTGTCGGGTCAGGATAGTGGTGGGCTGGGACTTGGGTGTGCGAAATGACTCAACACTAACCCTGCTTCAGGTACTTCGGGAACATATGGGCGTGCACTGCTTTTTGGGTCTCACAGCCACAGCCACACGAAGCACTGCCCGTGATGTGGCCCAGCACCTGGGCATAGCCGAAGAGCTGGAGCTCAGTGGGTTAGCCACCATCCCTGCTAATCTGCACCTCTCCGTGTCTGTGGACAGAGACTCAGACCAGGTAGCTATGTGCAGACCAGAGACCCCACCAGAAGAGCACGATCTGCCATGCTAATCACTCCTTATTGCCAGGCTCTGGTGACACTGCTGCAAGGTGACCGCTTTTGTACCCTGGATTCTATTATCATTTACTGTACTCGAAGAAAGGACACCGAACGGGTGGCTGCACTGCTCCGGACCTGCCTGTCTGTGGTGAGAGAGCCAAGGCATGGAGGTAGGCATGTGTAGGGCTGGCCCCTGGGGACCCTTTCCTCTGCATGCTTATGATCCGTCAGCCATTTGTACACCTTCTCTATAGGTTGTGGCCCTGAGGCTATAGCTGAAGCATACCATGCTGGCATGTGCAGCCAGGAACGGCGACGAGTGCAACAGGCCTTCATGCAGGGCCACCTGCGGGTGGTAGTGGCCACAGTAGCCTTTGGGATGGGGCTGGACCGGCCAGATGTTCGGGCTGTGCTACACATGGGACTGCCTCCAAACTTCGAGAGCTATGTGCAAGCCATCGGCCGTGCAGGACGTGATGGGAAACCTGCCCATTGTCACCTGTTCCTGCAGCCCCAGGTTGGCATCCCTATTTCCCCAGACCATGCTAGACCCAGGGTTACACTATTCATGTGCCACGCCCCTTCAGTCCCAGCTGCTATCCTGTTCTACTTGCAGCTGCCTCTCTAGCTGCAAATGCTATCGTGTGTGCATTGACTGTCTCTGTTCAGGGTGAAGACCTTTGGGAACTGCGTAGACACGCCCATGCCGATGGCATTGACTTCTTGGCTGTGAAGAAGCTGGTGCAGCGTGTGTTTCCATCCTGTACATGCACCCGAAGGCCTATGTCCAAACCCATGCTTGAGGAGGCCAAAGAGCACAACAGCCAACAAATACACCCTGTATTGGGACAGGCCTGCCTGGGCCACAAGCGGGCATTCCCAGTGCAGTCTACGGTACAGGCTCTGGACATGACAGAGGAGGGTAAGGAGCCAAAAAGATACAGGGTATAGGAGGGGCAGACTACCCTCACAGCCCCTGAGCCTTCCTCTGCCTCTAGCTATTGAAACTCTGCTGTGCTATCTGGAATTACACCCTCGGCGCTGGCTGGAGCTGCTGCCATGCACCTATGCCCACTGTCATCTACACTGCCCTGGGGGCAGTGCTCAGCTGCAAGCTCTGGCCCATAGGTAAGCATCTCACCTCAGACTAAGGATAAAGAAAAAGACCAGGGCTGCTGGGCCACATACTCCTTTGTCTCCTGGGCACAGGTGTCCCCCATTGGCTGCATGCTTGGCCAAGTACCCACCTAAAGACACAAGTCGGGGCAGCAGCTCCTTAGATTTTGACATGGTGGAGCTGGCAGACTCAATGGGCTGGGATCTGTCCTCTGTACGGCGGGCTCTCTACCAGCTGCAGTGGGACCAAGAGCCAAAGAAAGGTATACCCGTCCCTACCCCAGCCTGGCTTGTGCTAGCCACCCGTCCACCTCTGACTGACACACTTGCTGACAGGTGCACCACGGGGCACAAGGGTGCTTGTGGAGTTCAGCGAGTTGGCCTTTCACCTGCACAGTCCTGGTGACCTGACAGATGAGGAGAAGGACCAGATCTGCGACTTTCTGTACAGCTGTGTACAGGCTCGTGAACACAAGGCCCTGGCCCATCTACACCAAATATCTATGGCCTTTCGCAGGTAGGAAGGAAGGTAGACAGGGCCTAGGCCACACACTCTGAGCCCGTGGGCACTCTTGACAAGTTTGTCTCATCCCCAGCGTGGCCTTTCCCAGTTGTGGACCCTGTCTAGAACAGGCTGATGAGGAGCGCAGCAACCAGTTGAAGACCTTGCTCAGCCACTACTTTGAGGAAGAGGAAGAGGAAGCTGTGAAGGATGAGCAGAGTCCAGAGCCTGGGCAGACCGAGGTAGGCGCCACCCCTCTGAGGGTAGTTCCTAAAGCGAAGGACAATGACATACCCACATACAACCCAACCCCACGGTCCAACCCCTGCCTGGCTCAAAGTTTCTTGGGCTGCTTGGTCAGTGATTTTATGTGACAGATGTGATGGGGGCTCAAAGGAGAACACATGCCATCTTCCCACAGCTTCAGGACTGGGAGGACCATATTCGCCGTGATATCCGCCAGCTCCTGTCCCTGAGGCCAGAGGAAAGGTTTTCTGGACGGGCTGTGGCCCGCATCTTCCATGGCATTGGTGAGGGCCACGGGGCTGTCTGATATAGGCAGGAGTTGAGCACTAGAGCCAGCTGAGTCCTCAGGCCTATGTTTTTGTTCCATCATAGCAAGTCCCTGCTACCCAGCCCAGGTATATGGGCAGGACCGGCGCTTCTGGAGAAAGTATCTACATATGAACTTCCATGCCTTGATGCGCCTGGCTACAGAAGAGCTCCTGCTGAGAGGACGATGACCACCCTCCATGGGAGAATGCTACATGACGGAGACATGAGGCAAGCCAGACTGGCCACTACAGAGGGGTCAAGTTCATCTTCTCACCAAGGCACTGATGTAGCTATCACTGACCATTAGGCAAAACCTCCTAGTTTACAGGAAGGGGACAAGACGATCCAAAGTGCAAAATAAAAAGCATTCAATCATTTTATGTCCTTTCTGGTAACAGTCCTCAGTTTGAGGATAGCTACATCTCTTGTGTTCCAGAAATCCAGGACACACAGCTTTTTGGCTTTATGGATAACTCAGGTCAGGTTACTAGGTGCCAGGCTGAGATCCAGAATGGGCAGACCTGAGAGTATAAGGAAGGCAGCAAAGCAAAGATGTGGGCCCAGGCCATCAGCCAGCACTCCAGCCAGGGTACCTGGTAGCAGCTTGCCCAACAGTTCCAGAGTGGCCAAGAGGCTGTAATGCGTGGCCTGGGGATGGTAATACAGATCAGGGCCTGGTGGCGACCTAGCCCTGCAGCCCCTGGGCATCCCTTGCCCTGCCATCTTACCTGCAGGGCTCTGGGTGCCAACTGGCTACAGTGCATCATCACAGTGAATGTGGCAGTGGTGACCACACCGCCAAGAAATTGCTGCAGACACAGGCTCAGCAAAGCTGCGGCTAAAGAAACAAAGGTCAGTGGGGCCCCAGGTTCCTACTCCCTCCCTCTTTCCTCAAAGCTAACCTCTCACCTCTCGTGATTGTACCAGGATCCAGACTGGCCCCTGGGGTACTGAGGTAGAAGAGCAGAGCAGTCTGGCATGCCAAACCCCCAAGGCGAAGCTGCAGCACTGACCTCAATAGGGAAAGAGGCTGCCTGGGGTGGGAATTGGGAGACCGGATATGGTAAGATTCCCTGGGAGATAGGTGGAGGTGAGAGTCAGATTAGGGCTGGGGAGTGCTTACCAGTGTCTGGCCAGTAGAGCCCCACCTAAAGAGGAGCCAGCAATGGAGCAGGTTACAGCGCCCAAGCCACTCCATAGACCCAAGTCTGAGGCAGAAGCACCATGGTCCAGCAGAAGAAGCGGGAACAGGCTGCTCGCACCCTGCTCACCTACAGAAGACCATAAGCAAGGATGATCCCCTTCTCCTTTCTCCAGTCCTGGGGCCTCAGTGCTCCCAACTAGTCAGGCCCCTGCTCTGCTTCATTTTCATGGGTCCCATGTGTTAGAAAAGGCTGGGCATTCTGGCCCAGTTAGTTTGAAGCACCATCAGCAATACCAATGGGCTGTGGCCGAAGCTAAGGGGGAAGTCCAAAAGTGAGACAGGACTGAGCTACAGAGCCCTGGGGAGGGTTGGGCTGATACCCCAGAATAGGGCAGTACCCTAAGTGGATTTCAGGGCCATAAGAAATGTTGTCTTACCCAAAGCCACACTCACCCAGCTTGTAGGTGAGCACAAAGCCTGCTGTCCAGAAGGTTCCAGGCACAGCCAACAAATCTTGTAGAAGATAGGGTGTGGGGGGGTTATGCTCTGAGACCTGAGGGCAAGGCAGCTGTCCCAAGGCTGGTGCAGCCCAGGCTAAGGCAGCAGCCAGCCAGTAGGTGGCAGCTAGGAGCAGAAAAAGCAATGGCCAAGAGAGGGTGGGGAAGAGGACCAACAGCCCACCCCCAGCCAGTGCTGATCCCAGCTTGTACGCCACCACCTGTACGGTGTTCCCGGGTCCCAGCTCCTTTGGTTCCAGGAGTTGGACAGCGAGTGTATCCAGAGCCACGTCTTGCACTGCTGCACCCAGATTCAGCAGCAGCAGCAGCGCCATCATGATGGTGGGCAGCCCTGTCTGACCAGCGTGCGGGGGAGGCAGCGCAGCCAGCAGTCCACACACCAGGCCCAGGGACACTGTGCTGAGTGTTAACCAGACCCGAGGGGAGCCCCGCCTGTCCACCAGTGGCGCCCATGCCAGTTTTAACAGCCATGGAGCATACAATCCCTTGGTCAGACCCACACGCGTCAGGGAGAGACCATGGTCCCGCAGTAAAATAGGCAGCAAGCCGGACTGCAGTCCATAGGGCAGACCCTGCACAAGATAGAGGCTGGCCAGCAGCAGCAGCTTCCCATGCATGACCAGTTCGTGGTGGGATCAGATGGCTCAGCGCGGAAAGCTAGGGTTTAGTCTGTCTACATAGGATCAGGAACAATCAGACCGTGATCCCAAAACGCACACTGGGGACTCGATATCCCGGAAGTACTGAAGTTGGGAGAAAACTGCAGAGGAATAGGTCTGAGCGTGGTGAGCTTGCGCGCAGCCCATGGCTACCAGCATGCTTTGCGCAGGAGTCGGCTAAGGGAGAGGCGGGGCTCCTTTAGCTGAGGGTGCAGTCTAGTCTTCAATTGGCCAAAAACTTCAGGGTCAAATGTCAGGGAGGCTACGGCTACCTTCGCAGACCAAGAACATCTGCTCTGGCGCCCCCTGGTGACCAATCTGCACACAGAAGCCTGCTTCCTGTGCTCCCGGCCCGTGTGAGTGGCTGGGACGGAAGCTGTGCTATGGGCAGCTCTCAAAGGTATCTGCCATTTGGCTCAATGGTTACCAGATTCATTCCAGAGCACTTCTTTCGTTTTTTTGTTTTTGTTTTTTTTCAAGACAGGATTTCTTTGTGTAGCGCTGTTGTCCTGGAACACACTCTGTAGACCAGGCTGGCCTCAAACACACACACAGATGTGTCTGCCTCTGCCTCTGCCTCTGCCTCTGCCTCTGCCTCTGCCTCTGCCTCTGCCTCTGCCTCTGCCTCTGCCTCTGCCTCTGCCTCCTAGGTGCTGGGGTTACAGGTGTGCGTGTTTCTAATACTCACCTGCCACGGATGTGGCAGTACTCTACTCCACAGTGCTTCTAGCACTGCTCGCCATAACCTTACTATGATTCCGGCTTTAGAACCTCCCCAAGGCAGTGACCTCAGACGCTGGAGTTTTGTGGGAAAGGTCAGAACCCAGTCAGATACTGCCCATGATACCCCCTTCCCTTACAGTATTCGGTGAAGTTAGCTACTCCGGCCCACGTGATTCTGGCCCTGCAAGGAAGGCCCACGCCCAGTCTCTTCCCAGAGCTGTGCCCTCCTCCCAAGGCCACTATAATGCTGTTAAATGAGACCATAGTGAACAATTGGGCACTGTTGTTGTGTCCATTTGGACACATGGTCCTGTGTCCAAGTCCAAGCATCCTGACATATGCCTTGCTTCCACTGAGAGACTGTCCAGACAGTCTCGGGGTCCAGGTTTTCATAGCTATAAAATGGATTCTACTTTTGGGCATGGTTGTGAACACCTCTAATTTCAGCTATTCAGGCTGAGACAAGAGTGTCATGTGTTTAAGGTTGAAATGGATTAACTTAGCAAGACCATGTCGTAAAATTGAAAAAGGGTGGCGGGCAGGATATAGTTCAGTGGTCCTAACTTCAATCTCTAGTAGCGCAAATAACTCAGAGGGAGGGAGAACTGCTATTGCCTACCTCAGAGGATCACTGCAGACCCAACAAGTGAATCATAGCAGCACCTACTGTGGGCAGAGGCTCATGCCTTCCTGAGTCTGCACCCCAGGATTTTTTTCTTCCATAAGCAGCACCTACTGTGCACAGGGGCTCCTAGAGGTGATTCGCAAAATTACCCCTCCACCCCCCATGCCCAGTCTTCTCAAGCTCTTGCTGTCACTCCTAACCTGGTTGTAACACTGTTTAATAGCTCCACCCTGTGGTTGGCAGAGGAAATGCCAGAACATGGGACACATTTGTGTATCCCAGGGAAAAATTACTATTTCTACTACAGCCTCTGAGATCCCTTTCCCCTGGGATTCCCTGCAACCTCATCTCCTCCCAAGTGGCTCTGAAGTGTCCCTAAAAGGCGGGTGTGATCCACATCTGCCTTCACACTCTTACAAGTACATTAGTTGATTTTAAGGGGTCATCACATGCCCCACATTTAAGACCTTAGTGAAGACCTGGACCACAGATGTACCTGTCTCTCAGACAAATGGATAAATGACAGCCTGAAGGGCCCTTTCCTGGGAACTGTTCTTAACAACCTTGAGGGGGGTCCATGTGCCTATCCAAAGCCAATCAGGTAAATCAAAAGCTGGGGTCACCCAGGCAGCCACTTCAAGTCAGCTGACACCCAGCTTTATTAGGGACCTGCAGTAACAGGTACCCAGACCTAGGCAAAAGCAGCAAATACTGAAGGCTCCCAAGGACCTGCAGTTTGTTCAGTAAGAGGCTGCCCACTGTGGTCCTGACTGTGACTTCAGGAGTACTCATTGGTGAACTTGGCATGGAAACGCCTCAGTTTTTCCAGCAGCAGCCTCAGCTTCTCCATGGGGGGCAGAATAGTCATCCTGAAAAGGACAAACAGTAAGCCTGGGGCACAGGCCCGTTTGTGGTGGGATCAACACACACCAGGTCTCACCGGAAGTGATAAGTGCCCTCCTGCTGCCCAAAGCCACTCCCAGGTACCACGCAGATGCCAGTCTCCTCCAGGAGGCACAGGCAGAAGAACATGTCAGGGGCCAGGCCCAGTTCCTGGGGGTCAGGAGGGTGATCAGGTCACAGCACCAAGGCCAACACCCGGCTCAGCCCCCACATGACCCTGCATTCCCACCTGAGCACGCTGCACTGCTCGTGGGGGCAGCTGCACTCGAGGGAAGGAATACATGGCACCCTGCACTGGGTTGCAGCGGATACCGGGAGCCTCGTTGAAGATCTGCTCCGTGAGTTTAGCCTTGGCTGCCAGCTCAGCCAGCACCTCCTGCCTCTCCTGCAGCCACAGGAGGGGATTATGGGAGAGGGTTTCAATGTGTCCCCTATAGTCCCTCCCAAAGCTGGGTCACCAGACATCTTTGGCCTGGCCTGATCTGCTCACTGCTTGAAATTGCTTGAAGGATGGCTCAGAGGGTGCTGGCGGGCTGACCACCATGTCCAGAAGGGCCTGGCCTGGCACTGGTGGGCACAGCCGCACGCTCATCAGTTTCCCCATCTGTTTCTGCACCTCAGCATCCATGTTTACCACCTCCACATAGCCACCACGGAACCCGCATCTGCCAGAAAGAACATGATTTGGGGCTCGTCTGAGAAGAAGGTGTTGAGCCGTTGAGCCCTGGCAGTGGCCCAAAAGGCCCTCTCCCCGTCCCTGCTCCACCACCTGCGCCTGTACGCACTCGCCCATGTAGCCCTTA